GAGAGACCTTTCAAAAGAAAATGAAATGTTCCTTTCTTGTTTGTGTGTCAAATTCCTGGTGATATCATCGGATGTCGTCAGTTTGCATACTTGCATATGAAATTATAGAAATTTGGGTCACTTCTCATTTCTCAGACATGTGAGAGATGGAGGCCATCTTCACTAATAAAATAGGCTTGGAATTCTTAAACCAGTGATATACTTCTTAAGGAATACAAATTATAAAAATATTTCGATAAGAATTCCAATTATATATATTCCATTCATATGCAATAAGTGGTAATAAAACAATTGTTTTGAGATCTCCAAAGGGCACAAAGTTTTGGCAATAATTAGAGTTAAAGACTTCTAAACATGTTTCTAAGATCCAGGGAAAGAGAGAGAGAGAGAGAGAGACATTGAAAATGAAGTCAGAACTGAACGTGATATAATTTGAAGAAAATTAGCAACTAGTACTAATTAATTAATACGTTCAAGTGTCTGGTAGCTCTGTTCCAAACAATTCCCTGAAACAAAGGGATAATTGCTGCATTACAAGACAAGCTTTGGTCTGACCTTGTACTCGATCAGTTCGACTTGATGATGATCATGAGAAGAAGGCTCCATAAATATTAATATCTCTGGTCAACCACTGAAAGTCCTTCCCCTCAGGCTCATTCTACAGGCCAACACATTTATTTTACAGAAAGAATCAATTACCTCAGCAATATTCCATATCCTCCATTGCTAAAAAATATTTCTTCTCTTCAATGACTTCTTCATAACACATTCATCAGCAAAAGTATAAATTCTTATTTTTTTTCCTGGTAAAACTATTAATCAAATGTAAAATGACATTATAAGGACTATTAATAAGGGCATGTGCAACTTTCTGTTTCCCAAGCTAATCCCAATTTAAAAATGGCAATTATATTGATGCAGTGTCCATAAAATGCCTTCTAACAAATCAAGCAATTCAAAGATATTATATAGAATGATGAATCTGCTAGTTTTTGGCAGCTTCTTGGAAACTGACAGTCCATTTTTTTTCTTTGTTAAACAGAAAAGAATAGCAACTTAATCAATCCAAATGACACTTAAAATTCAATATTTATTCCTTGCATCGTTGTCTTATCTCTCATTCCCACAGCTAGCTAGCTTGCCCCTATTCTTGTAAAATAGATTACCAAGTTGCTCACGTTTTATACATGTTCTTGTATGGAAAATACACGCACCCAATGCTTCAAATCTCCCTGGATCCTCATAGCGTTAGGTAACGAAATTTATACAGATATAAAGATCTATGCCAGATTAAGAAAATATCTGGTAATTAAACACAGTAACCTCAGTTTTGTTGCGTTGAATTGCACCCGTGATTCTCCAGTGAAAAATGAATGTACATCAAAAACAATGTCGTCCACCAGAAAGAGAGAAGCAGAAACACAGGCATGCATGTACTTGATATCATGTAATTGTCCTCACTTTGTACAGTTCCATTAAGCCTACAAAGTTAGGGATGTGGATGGGATGGGTTGGGGCGGAAGGGAGTGCATTCCCTGTCCCCCACCCCGCTTCCTCAACCTTATTCCCTCCATCCTCGCCTCCTCCGAAATCCGTCTCCATTGCACCGGAGATTCAGGCTTGCCGGGTTCAAGTGAAATTGACAAGCACATAAACGTTGCAAAGCTGTTATTCTTAGTTAGTTACTTGCTTGAATAAGTATCGTAGCCAAATTCTGACCAAACTTAAAAACTTGTCCAACTCTGCTTACTGTCATAATCATCAGACAATCGAGACTCAATTAAGATTGACATGAACTTTGCAATTATGAAGAATTGATGTTTCATTAGTGTAAACTTACACAGAACTCAATCGTAACCATGAAGTGTGTGAATGATATGGAAATAATTCTGGGCCCAATATCCTCATTACAGAGAATGCATTTTGAGTGAGGGTGGTGCAAAAGGGGAGTTAGACTACAGCAAATGAGACAATTTGCATTGTAAACATCTTATAACATAATCCCTTTTGGGTTCACTTTCAATCAATATCAATCATAAAGAGGTATGGGTGGCACACGAGGCTGAAGGAACAAGTATGAGACAAACACGCTTTTCAATAAATATCCTGAAAGCTAAAATGCAGGTGGCTTTCCATCGACTAGATTCAACATATGAACACTTAAACAGGCTTTCAATTCTGATCACAAAAAATAATGAAAGAAAAGAAGAGAAAAGAAAAGAAAGAAGCTGTTCTATTCCTAAGGTAAATTAAAATGGGAGGTGATTCATCATCCACCAACCTATAGGAAAATTTTGTTTTGCCGGGTTTTTTTTTTTTTGGGGGGGTTTTCCTTTTATGTTTTTCTTGTCGCAACATGTATGACCTTTTGCAAAGGGGGCATTGATGCTGTTAGGTAGGAAAAGCACAATTCAATACTGCCATGGGGTTGTAGCCCTTAACTTTTACAAGTAAGTCTATCATTGACGGCCCTTTATATCTCTTTCGTGGAGCCCCAAAGCTGTGTACCAGCAAGTCATCGCTGTTCGAAGCCAGTCAAGCACTGGCGGTGAACCACCAAGAAACATAATCCCTACCGCCTTTCTTTCTCTTATTCAATTTTTGTTTGAACAGCAACAATCATATGTACAGTTCTCTTAACACATCCTATGAATATTAACACACCCTACACTGACCCTTGAAGGCTATGAAACGTTCCTTAATGAAGGTTCCGTTTTGTCTCAAATCTATCACAATTTCCCAACCACCTTGAATATTAACACAAAATGACATGACAACAGCCATGCCAAGTAAGTACATGCAACTCTCCTATCAGGCAGGTACCATTAGAGTTTTGAAACATTCTGTGTTCATGTTCCAAAATAAGGATAAAGCAATCTACATCAGCCACAGCCACCAGCAGAAAAACCAGGGAACATCAAGCATACATCATTCGTATTAGTGGAAAGTGAATCCAACTTGCTGCAAAAACACTGCGACTTTGGTGAACTAAAGCAGCAGCAACATTTACCCAAGTGAACTCTTCTCAATGAACATAACAGTACCTTCCTGTATTTGTTTCACATGGTTTTACCCTGTCTTTCATCCCAAGGCAATGCTACATGTTGATTAAGCAATAACTCAAAGAGAGAAATAACACAATCTGTTAGTCAATATTAATTTCTTAAAAATAAAAGAAATAAAGTTTTTAGAAAAATGGGTTTTGAATGTGTGGTGGTCTTTTCTTCTTCCCCACAAGTGTCAATACTGCAATCCCTAGTGAAGATATTAGATTAATCTTAGTGTAGGCACTTTACACTTCAGCCATATGAGTAGCTTCATGATCTATCCTCATTCGGTGCTGCCACTCCATGCACTCCTCTATAACCAACTCTGGAAGCAACCAATCAAGCATAGCTAATAAAACTTGCCGGACAAGCACCATTATATGTAAGTTATAGCAACTCCATCTACAGCATGCTTAGCTCCATCACATTTCCTTCCAGCAAATCTGGGACAAAATCTTAAATGCCTTGGCTCAATGAAAACTTGATACCAAGAACAAATTTGCAAGGAATCCCACTTTCACAAAAAAGTTTAGAGACTCAAGTTACCACATTATCACAAGAACCATGCAATAAGACACACTCAGACATTTATGTAAGTAGTAATAATATGATATATTAATCAACAATAAAGGGTTGAGAGAAGAATTCAAATATCATTTGGATTCAAAAATGGAATAATTTATCACTATCCATGGGTATATTTGCTATCCGGTATTGAAATATCTGCCTGATAAAATGTTGGTTTTTAGGAACAATTTTATTTAGGTTCGATCAGCTACAAGACATTTTGCTGTTTACTCTACTAAGATGTGCAAGTGCAGAAATAATTTATAATTAAGAACTCTTTATGGGTTCAAGCTTGAGCCACTCACAGACCAAAAAGACTAAATACTGCAATATCTATCAGAATCTTTTAAACTCCATAGCTAGGGTTACATTTTCCATGATGCTAAATAAACAAATGATACAACAAATAAGTTTTCTAATGCCTCATGATCTTTATATAGCACCACAGTCCAAACTTTCAATGAAATGACCAAGTACACCATCCTCATTTCAAGGAGATAAACTTTTCAAGTACAACATTAGCCAACTTTAAGCCAATCAAAATCAAAATTCTTATAAAATGGGTGCAACAATAGCTACTGTTTTCTAAAACAATTATCATAATTAGTTTCTACAACCTTAAAGGATGCAAAGAATAGGCTTCTAATTACAAAATTACTATAACAACTCAAGTCCAAACATCACTAACTCAAAAACATTTTAATCCTAAATCACATGACCTTCAAAAACTTAAGCTCAATTTTCTAATAATGATTAACTTAGACCTTTTAAGTCTTAACTATCACATTCAATGTGCGATAAGGTATCACAATCTCATCCATAAGTCCTTGATGTCCTCACCAAGGCCTCACATCCGATGTGGGACGGGATATCACGATCCCACTCTCAAATCCTTGATGTCCTCATCTCAATGTGAGATAAAGTGTTAAAATCCCACCACTCAAATTCTTAATATCCTCATCAAGGCCACACATCACAATCATAATCAAGACCCACTCTACAAGGCCAGGATCTCACCAACACAATGTGGAAGTCCACACCAGACTAGCACATGCTCTGATACCAACTGTAATGATTCGAGTCCAAGCACCACTAACTCAACAACCTTTTGAGATATCATACGGCCTTCGAAAATTTAAGCTCAAGATTCCAATAATAATTGACCTGGACCTTTATATGGATCTTAACAATTAAATTCATATCCAATGTGAGATGGAATATCATAATCTCACCTACTCAAATCTATGATTTTCTCGTCAGAGCCTTAAATCCAATGTGGTATGGGCTATCACAATTACGATGGCAACAGAGACATGTTCATCTCATTTTTATGCACTAAATTGAGGCATTCATCACCATTCACCATCATAACCATAACCCAACAGGTCAAAACTGCATACTATTATGGGTTTTTCTCTAATTATTCAGATGATGTTAATAGAAATTTGTAGCAAAAGAACCATCAAATGCAAATTAAAATCATCACAAAGTAAAGAGGAGAATTACAAGAAGTTACTTAAAACCCCCCTACTGATTAAAGGTGGGTAAAAAAACACATTCAGCAAATTGAACCCTTAAAAGCTGAATTCTGACTAATGGAATGAAAGTAAGCAGCACCACTAGACTCAGACAAGAAAGCTCCGACCTCTACAAGCACTTGCTACTAGATGGGACTGATATAATTAGCAAACCTACCTGTCAACCACAAAAAGACAAATCATAGATAAAGTCACACACAGATTATACACATAAGAACAATGAATTTAATATCTGCCAAATGATCTGAAAATGATGATAACATCTAGACAGTACAAGCAAATATTATCCCATCTTTTACCTTCTTTATTTTCTTTTAAGAAACGCTACTTATCTAACTATGACAAGAGTGTCCTTACCAGACAGCAAACTTTCATTTACACCAGATTAGCATCTTGAGGAGATGAAATGCCTCCCAATAACACTAAAAGATACTGAATTAACCAATTAGGTACCTTCTGCTTCAAAAATGGATTTTACACAGAGCTTAGTCCAAAGAATGCAATGCTTGAATGCACTGCCCCCATAGTTGCTAAAGTGTTAATAGGATGAGCTTTGGAATTTATGACCAACTGGCTAAAAATTTAATCAATAGGGCTTCCATCAATGATAACTCGCTGGCTACTGCTGAGTGGCTTAAGGTACAAAAGCATGTAAGCAAATCTTCCCACCCAGCCAACATCCACAGGGACAGGCAAAGAACAAAAAATGCTAAGGATAGCTTAACTCTAGTTCAAATTGTAGAATTTTCAGCAAAGAATTAGTTCCAGTAAGAATGAGGCATCCGCAGCAGTAAATCCAGATATCTAAACAATTCACTTTGGAGTTTGAGGTTTTCGGAAAAAACTACCTAATTAAATATGCTCTCTAAGCAACCAAGATGGAAAAACAGAGCGCGTAAACCGAAAAATGTCAGAAAAGCAAAAATGGAGATACCTTCAGCACAACTTTTGGCATCACGGGGAAGCTTGGAAACAAGGCAAGCCGATGCAACTGCACTGTGAACCGGTTGAAGAGTGCTCAGTTCTCGCCGAACCAACCTTCAGAAAATTACCAAAAAAAAAAAACAAATTCTGAAACAATTAGATCATAGGAAAAAAAAACCGTTTCTTCTATTCGCAAAGAAACATAAAAAAAGAAAAGCACCGAGAAAGAGAAGGAGGCGAAATCCGGGTTTGGCGAAGATTGAAATTAGAGCGAAGCGAAGGATTAGGAACTGAAAATGGGATTCTCGTTCTCGTTGTTGTTGTTGTTCTAAAGATTGGACGAAGAAAAGAAGATCTTGATGCAATTGTAGCTGCCATTCTATGTTCTCTCAATCGGAAACCCGAAAACCTCAGCAAAACCCTGGTCCCCAAACCGGTGAATTTCGCTGCTTTGCTTCGTTCATGGGGCTTCGTTTAACGGACTAGACCTTAAAGAGTCCACCAAAGCAAAAGCCCATTAGCTTCCAATGGACTACAAAATTCTCATTTTACCCAGCTGACTTGCTTTCATTTAATTGCATATTACAGTAATGAAGATTCTGAATTTATTTAATGAGCATGCGTTACCGTAGCTTCATTGCCTAGTCTTGGCTGCCTAATCCAACTTCTGCAGTAGATGCAATTCTCATTCCGTATCTCAACTAAATCCAAATAACAGTGAAGTAAAAAGTTTCCATTCTTACTGAACAAATTGAACCAATATACATCATGAGTATTTCAAAGCTTTACGAGATATGTCAGATTTACACATCTTCACATTTAAAACGATTCATCATCCACTGTTGATCTTGTAATTGGTATAGACCATCTCCCTAGATGGGCAGTGTAGTTTATGCACCGTATAATGCCTCTACCAGGAGGGCCATCAGGGAAATCTACTACACTGATGCTCCCCACATCGAGATGGAATGATCCTAGCCATTCTTTTCTCAGATTTAGGCAGTGTCCCATCATTGCTACGTGCACTGCGGGATGACCAACAGCAACAATGATCTTTTCTTTCTCAGATTCGTTGGATAGTTCTGTCAATAATGAACTCCAGGCTCGCCCAGATTGCTCCCATAGTTTTGACAAGACTCCATCCTCTAATCCATTTAACCAACCAGGGCGGCGGAGAGATGAAACATCAATTGTGTCCTGCAGAACAGGTAAAAGTGAACGATTAGAACAACACCTGCAGAACACTAGAATAGAGCTGCTTATCACACTTTTATAGCACCAAAAGTGCGTTTGAGACAAGTCTCTCAGCATGCAATGTTTAATAAAGAAGTGCAGATAGCCAGTCTTCATGCTAAGCTCTTGACCACAAACAAATGAAGCAAAAGGATCCTTTTGCCCTTATCAATCATTGTTATGGCATGAATTAGATGTAGTTCATAATTAAGATTCCAAATTTTTTCCTCCAAATCTCTATGAAGAAAATACGTGAATGGAAATAGAGATATCCTAAAATGTCAAGCTCAGATATCCTGCCTTTGTTGATTGCCGAAGGATTTCTGCAACATCAAGGTCCTGTATATTCCCCATCTCCACATAACGAGGCACACAATCCGCACCCAAGCAATCAGCAGCCTCTTGCACCTACAATATAGACAGATTTTTGGAATTAGGGGACAAAAGGGACTCTTAAATGGAACTCAAATACTAGCACTATCTCATTTATTTAGTTAATCAAGAGTGTGCGAGAGAGGGGCAAAGCAGAGTATGACTTCTCACATATTGACTGAAAGACAATGAGGATGAGCTTACTCTGGAGATAATTGTGGCTGTCTCAGCACAGGCATTCGTTGGGCTGCTAACTATGGCACTCACTTTCAGATCAAGAAGCAACTCTGCATTTTTCTGGGCCTGTTAAGAACCCACTGAAAGGATTAGATAATATGACTTTCAACTATTAATCCATAGAGATGGTGTCAGTTTTGTACCTGTATAACCCCAAGCATGTTCATTGGCGGATCACCTGAGATGGACAAACTAGCCTGTGGATCAATAAAGGTAATGATTATTAATCGCAACATTTTTAAATGAGATTTTAACCCAATATGATGATAGAGTAATACAACAGACTGCAAACAAAAAATTAATTTACCATTATTCACATTGCATTCCCTCTGTAATACGAAATATATTAACACTAAATCAACAAGGCTTATAGGTATGCTAGTCCCAAGGACAATTCTCTGGTAGATGATATCAGTCTCAGGCTGCAAGAGAATGTGTCTGAATTTGAGAGCACCATTTCATGCAACTTATGGCTATACATATCACCCATTACAAAACAAGTGGCAATCTACCAAGCCATTGCTTCCATACCTCGGTATCCTGTGTGGATCCCTGACAAATGAGTATGATCCGCTTGCTGGTCTTTCTTCCTCCAGAGCTCCCAGTAGCAACAGGTGAACTTGGTGTCTGCAACAATATTTCAACCATATTGGAAAATAAGCCACAACCAACTATGTGACCTACGTAGCAGTAATTCTCACCAAAGAAAATAAATGAATTAATTGAAAGAGACCTACTGCAGTTGCATAAAGGAAAATTCTTTCCATAAATTCAGAAGTCCAGCTCAACTAAAAACTGATCATGTGCATAGTCAAGTGTGATAACCTGATTTAAAGTAACATCCATTTGTTTGAATATTTATAGCACGCATCAACCAAGAAATGATCAGCTGTGAGGAAAGAGAATGAAATGATACAAAAGCAACAAAAATTCAAAACAGCAATCAGCTGCTGAGTTAGCAGAATCATTCTGGTTTGGGCTAAGAAACCTTATTTCTGCTATAGCATATTTAAAGGTTTAATCCACCGCAAGTTAATGCCAGTAAGGAACAAAGTTTAAAAAGTCCAATAACTTTTAAAAGTAACTTTATATCATACCTGATTTAAACGATTAAGACAGATATGTGGAGACCCTCCCTCAATCCGTGGGGTGAAATCAAGCACACTTACACCACAATTGCTCTGAAGTAAAACCCTAAAGTATTCTGTTCCTAGTCCTGATCATCAGGAAAGGTAAAAGTATTAAAAAAAAAAAAAAAGAGTAAGCTTAACAATGATCATCTATCTTTGCATACTAACATGTAACCATAACAGAGAAAGAGACCAGTACCTATTGCTGTTGCAACTAGAGCCTGATTAACAGCATTGTGAGCAACCACAAGAATAGACTTGCTTTCATGAGCAAGGATTTTAGTCCAGCAATTTCTGGCACGTCCCCACAACTCTCTGACCGGATAATGACCATCAATGTTGAAATTTGCAGCATCAACCTGCCACTGGCGATAAGCTGGACCAAACTTTGCTTTTCCCTCATGCTTTAAGAGGCCCTAAAATCCGCCAATAAACTGAGATAAAAATCATCACAAGACATTAAATCTTTCTAACCAAAAGTATACATGTGCATTGTGAGTTTCAATTAAACAGAAATACGAGACAGATTGAGCAAAACATACTTGAAATGAATAAAGATCAATTTCTCTCAAATCAGAATCTGTTATAATCTCTTCCTCTCGAATTCCCCATATGATTTCAGCTGTTCTTTTTGAACGAATGAGAGGGCTGAAATAAGAAAGAAAGCCCACCTTAGCCAAGTGATGATAAGTAAGAGTTCAAAAGAAAAGAAATCTTCTGGAATTACCCTGAACAAGTGTTATATTAACATCATAGTATTAGCCATTTTCTTTAATTAAAAATAAGCAAATAGCTAAATTTTAGAACGTATCCAAGCATAATCCGGTTATTAAAGATCCATTTTTCATTACATAAAATCAAATTTAAATTTAAATTCTTCAATAAAAAAATAATTTCAACTCCTAAATTATCCATATATATACACACTTCCAACTCTTCCATAGTACATCCTTTTACCAACGTATTTTCAAAATTAAAAGGTAATTAATTGAAAGTAAAATACTTAAAAACAACCAAACAGAATGAAAATTGAACTGAAATTCAGAAGATGGCGGCAAAGAAGACCTGGAGAAGCAAACATCGAAGGAGTCATCGATGAGCATATAGCGGGAAGTCTCGGCTTGAGCTTCACCTTTCTTAGTCAAAACCGAGAAGTTAGAGCTCCCTTGGATCCTACCTTCCTCGTTCCACGTGCTCTGCCCGTGCCTCACCAGTACCACCCTTTTCGCCGCCTTTATCGGAGGGAACGGAACCGACGCGTAAAGCTCCGGCCTCAGCTCCCTCTCCTCCGCCTTGTTGATCTCTTGGAGACTCGACGATGATCGGACGGTGAATGGACTTCGACGTTTGGTAGGGAGATGGTGGAGTCGTCCGTGGACAAGCGGAGGAGCTTGTGCGAGGGAAATCATCTTAGAATTTTTATTTTTTTTGAGAGTTTTGGTATCCTGTTTTCGCGGTAAATATTGAAAAGGATTTTCAGATTTTTGTATGGTTACCGTTGTTTCCATAGAGCAAAGGAGGGAATGACGTGTGGCAACCGCCACCAAGATTTTTTTTTTTTTAAAGAAAAATAAAATATAAGTTAAAATTTCATAGATTTTTTTATTCAAAAAAAAGTAAATGGACATCATTAAATTGTAAAATCAAAATTTTGAAGCCTATTAAAATAATTATTTTTCAACTGAAATAAAAATATAAATTCTGTTTAATCCTTGGGTTCTCTACATTTGTCTTTTGATCCTTTTATCTTAAAAGAAAAAAAAAAAGGAAAATGGAAAGAAGAGAACAAAATTGAAAAAAAAAAGCAACAAAACAATATAAAAAAAGTTTTGGATTTCCCTTTCCTAATTTTTCCTATTCTCCTCTATTCTTTATTTTTTCAAATATTTTCAAATAAAAATAACATAATTTAGAATGATTTTTAACAAAATAATTATTAAACATATACATTTAGCCAATAATTATTAAAATTATTGAACTGGTATGGTTTTAAACTAATTTTATTTTGCTACAATTGACCAATATAAATTTTTTTCTTTTTTTTATTTTCTTAATAATTCTGTATCACAAAAAGAATAAAATCCTAAAATATCCTACCCATTAAAGGTTCAATTTTTCCTTTTTTTTTAATTTTCAATTGTTTTATTTTCTTGGTTTAGATAGAACAAGGTTGGGTGCAAATCTGCTCAAGCCCAAGACCAAGCCCAGACCAATATCCATGTACAATAGGACGTCGGGCTTAAGCAGGCTCGATTTTTTATCAACTGAACTTTCCCATTAAAGCCCAATATGCCCAATATTTTTGTTACTATTTTTGTCAAGGAAAAAAAATCAGATTTTGTTCATTTGCTTTACAAAGAGAGAGAAGAAGAAATCTAATTAAAAACTTTGGCTTTGCATAATAATACCAAAAATACCTTATATTAACTACTTAAAATAATTGCAGTTATACTATACTTGGAATATTTATCTCCTTCTTTATAATTGTAAATAATAGTGGCATAACAATGATTAAATCCAACAATTAAGGCTTAGTTTATAAATTATTACTCCTCCTTAGGGGAAATTAAAGTTTAATATTGGAGTCCATTTTCTCTTTCCTTATATGTATTAAAAAATAAAAACAAAAACAGAGTGATGACCCTAAGCCTACAGGTAGCTGGTAGGCCTGTAGGTGTGCATGAGAACCAACAGCAAGCCTCGTGACCCCTTTGATCGATCAAGTTGATTGAATCCAAAAGGGAGAAGGAAAATGAAGCCCCAAACGGTCATGCTAATCGGCAAATGGCTGAGGGCACATCATTCCAACAAGCAAGAGCAACAACTATTATGAGCTATGCTCATTGGATATGGTAGGGCTTTGCTTTGTACCAAATCACACCCATCATTCTCCAAACACCCCACCTCTTCAAACGGCTAGTTGGGTAAAATTTTGCTTAAAGCCCATCCTAGCTTTTCTTCCTTGTTAGCCGTTGCTTTCCCCAAACAAGGGGGGTCGAACTGGGGCAGTTCCCACCACCACAAGTTCCAGCTAGCAATCTTTTTCTTTTATTGTAGTTTAATCAATTTGCCTTTGTGGGCTGACCCCATCATGACATTTGTCTAATTGAACACATGGCCACTTTCACTTGGGGCCCCATCTTTGTCATCAAAACCATCAGAGCCAGCTTGGATATTCATCCTTATCAATTTCTTACTTTTTTTTCCTTTTTTTTTTTGTTTTTAATTCCACTTTGGCAAAATTTTGCCAGTGCTCCATTGGCAATGTTATCTAGGGAGACTAGAGTAGTGCTGTTGACAAATATGCCATGGTCCAGGCCTATAGCACTGAAAAGGCCTAAATTTCATGCTATGGTTATGTACAGCAGAGCCTGGATAGGGATAAGAGTGCCCCTTTTGATCTGAAATTCAACATTAGATGCATTGATTTGGAGTACTATCTTTAGCATTTGAACAATTGATTTAATGGTAGATACATGTATTTCATTCTTCAAAAATTCAGGACTCGAATTTCCAAATCATATGGATAGGGTCAACTGGGTGTATTTTAGAATAAAAGTTGAAGAAAATGGTTGCAGAGGATGCATGAACTTCACACGGTGAGATCACATGATTTGGCACCATATTCACTGTGGTTTAGATAATGATAGCCTTGAATTTCCTCTCTTTAAATGCCTGGAAATGAGCAGGTGATCGGCAACTAGGCAATTCCTCTAACATGGAAAGAGGCCATGGTGAAAAGATTTGCATGAAAATTACAAGGATGCATCTGGTGAACAAGACAAGATACATGAGAATTGTCCAGTCTCAGCTCAGCCGTCTGAGAGGAGTCTGCAAATTCCAGGTGAAACATTATAGGATTTTACTCTCAGAACAAATAGGGAAAAAAGGGCATGTCTTACTGAAATAACTTGTCTCCTTAAAGGATTGCAACTGTATTGATCTGTTGCAATTAGTGCTTTTATGAGGCAACCATGAATACATCCAACTCTCCCTAGCATTCACTTCACCTGTCTTTTAATCATCCTAAATTCCCAGATATTAATCAGTCATTTCCTTCACAAATCCAACTCACCATTTAGCACATGGGACCTGCATAAAAACATATTAGCTTTTCTCTTCTTCTGCTGTTGGTTATGCAAAATGTGGCAAAAGTGCACTAAGATCTGCATTTCATCGTGACCAACTTAATCAATCACTATCATCATTAAAAAGAAAAAAGAAAGAAAGAAAGAACATCCTTCATCAATTTGTGATTTCCTCTTCTTTACTTGATTTACTGTTTTGGGGTCTGTTGCATATTTACACTTGATCACCAGAACCCTGACATATATATCTTTATTTAACAAAATAATAATAATGTGCTCTTAATCATGCAAAATCATTGTTGTGATGCAACAATAATGAATCATCCAATGCAACTTCCCCCATTGAATATGAACTCCATCTTTTTAACCAAAAGTGATAACTAGTTTATTTTCCTTAGTTGGTTGCTTCAATTTTCCCCATCCAACTACACCACATTTACAAATTTATTATCAAAATGAGCTGTGAAACAGTGGAAGTGAGGTCACTTTGTTTGGTTCCTTTAAAAAACAAATGGTGTATAGCTGAAGAAATCCGAAAGCATAACTAAGAGAATATCAGTAGGAGAAAATTCAGATTCTATTTTTGCAGGCTCATCAAATGAGTGATGAGTGATTGAGATTTGGAAACAATATGAAATGATTTTGTGTCATTTTCAGAGATATCTAAAGTCACTCAATTCACATTTAATTATTCAAAAACCCAAAATCAAAACTTTTGCATGACCCTTTGGTTCAGTGGGTTAATCCTATTGGCCACAACTTGGAATCCTTCCAATCCATGCCACTGTCAATTCCTTTCATAGACTTTCTGAACCTTTTTTCCAACAGAAACATAGCTAAGACTTTCCCCAAACCATATCAAACTTAACGTACAACTATTTAATTAGTAAATGTTAATAAAATTAATCACCCATATTGGAAAAAGAATCACTTAAATTTTGTAACCTATGTGTTTGTACATAAAATAATCTTTTATTTAAACTAGTCAACTTACAATCATTGTTATTTGACTTAAATATCACTTAATTTTGATAATTATTATTTTTATGAAATTTTTAAACTAATATTATATTTAATGCAATTTTCATATTTTTTAATTTTAATCAAATAGAATCATTGTGATTAACTACCATTAGTCAAAATATTATATACCTTTAAAAAAAAAAGTCAAAATATCATATATAATTTTTATATCTATTTTGATGTTGATGTGAATGGTGGAAATACTATATAATTATGTTATATTATCATTAATTACAACATATAAGTATGTCATACTAGCATCACTTAATATAAAAAATAATATTTAAAATTTAAAATTTAAAATAAATATAAAAATTTGATTAAACATAATAAAACATAAAAAATTATTTAAATTTGTTTAAACAAGTAAAGAATTTTTTGAAAACTATTGTATGCTTATGAGAAAGTAAAACATAAAGATAGAATATAAATCTTAAATATTATATTCTTTTTAAAGAAAAGTAACAACAATGCTAAGCCGAATCTTAATTATTAGGTAACATGGTATATTCAACTACATTTATTTTTCTTTTTTACACTTTCACATTGATAAAATGGGAGGAAAAAAATATTTTTCTCATATTTATTTACATGGATTAGGAAGATTAGTTTGGTTTTTTTTGGCTGTATAAACTAGAGAGAGTTTAGTTAGCCGTTAATATGACAACATAATCTTAGTCAAGACAACTGTTATTATGACATCATCCCTATTGTCTCGGAAAACACTAGACTGAACCAAACCCCACGAAATGAAAAATTTTAAAAGAAAAAAAAAGAGAAACGCGGTTTTAGCTCACTCCTCCATCCGCCATGCTCTCTCTTTCTTTTGTCATCTTTTCTACTCTTTTTTCTTTTTTTCCCACTTCACTTCACTTCACTTGCCCCCAAAAGAAGCCTGTTCTCTCACTCACTCTCAAACTTCTCCCCCCCTCTCTTCTTTTCTCTTTCCTTTTCTACTAGTACTAAACTAAGTCCATTTCTTCCTTGCCCTTTCTGAAAAACAAGAGAAACTTCTCTTCTTTCTCTCCCTAAAAAGCTCCTCGCAAAACCCTAGAAAAACCACTACTTTTTGAGCTAATATCTTTCTCCTTTGAAAACCCAGATCTGTAATCGTCATATACAAGCTTAAAAGCTATGACCCAGTAAGGGATTTTGTAGCTTTTTTTTTATAATGTCGAGTTCTGACCCGAAAACCCGACCGAAACCGGGACCATGGCCACCAGCTCCCGATGCAGCTCCCGTTCCGCCTACTTCTTGGGCTAAGCGAACTGGGTTTAGGCCCAAATTCTCCGGTGAAACGAATGCGAGTGAGTCGGGTCAAATAGCTTTGCCTCCAAGGGCTAGAGAGAATGAGAACCAGCCTGATCTCGAAGCGGGTCGGGTTCGACCTGCGCCACTGGTGGCGAATGGAGAGCAGCCGGTGGGTGAGAAGGGTCCGGTGGAGAAAGATCAGACGGTGAAGAAGAGAAGGGAGGGTGATGGGGCGAATAAAGGCGGCTCCGGTGCCGGTGCTAATGGGCATACGGGTACGAATGGGGCCGCGGAAACTGGGGCTGCGTCGCAGCCGCAGCAGCCTACGAGGAGGCCTTTGAGGAATGAGGAAGTGGCGGATGTGTTGCCACAGAATGTAGATGATGAAGGATTTGTAGGAAGGCATTCACATATGAAATATGACCTTAGAGATACTCCTGGTCTTGGTAAGTTTATAAAATAAGAAAAAGAAAGAGGTTTATTTTTCCTTAAAAAGCGTCTACTCGGTTTTTCTTTTATTTTCTATTTTACAAAGTTGAGGTGAGATTGAAAAGGAAAAAAAGATTTTTTTGATGGCTTTAGTGAAATGGGTAGTTGTAATTCTATTTAGAAGTGTGGGATGTTTGTTCGTGTTTGTCACATTATTGGAAAGTGAAAGATTTTTTAATTGTTTAATTGGTCTTTGTAGTTTAGCTTGTATAGAAGCCGTTTTGATACTGTGAGATATTATCTTAATTGACAACTGAAAGCTTAATTGTTTAATTTTTGGAGTATTACTTGTTTAGTAAGTTTTCTTCCTATTTTAGGTGAAAGCTGTGTGCTTTCATTGGTTATAGGGATAGGCTTATTTCCATGGTTTATTAGTTGCTTTCTTTTCTATCTTATATCGTATTTAGTTGTGAACAATGTGCTCTTTGCTTAATTTTATTGATAAATTATTGATAATTGAAGATCTGTTGTTGCTTGTAAATTGGTGATAGTAAGACTTGTGATCGAGCCAAAAAGAAATTATGCTATGTATTTATGTTTATTGGAAATAGGTAAGAATATTTGATGATTGACTTGTATATTGATGACAATTAGATGCTATTGGAACTTTAAAAGAATGTGATTTTTGGTTATCTGGGAATAATTATGTTTTGACAGCTTCTATTGTTTTTCTTTTTTGCCAGTTCCCATTGGTCTTTATGGGTTCCAGCATTTTCTTTCAATGTTGGGTTCATTGATTCTTATTCCACTCGTTATAGTTCCTCCAATGGGTGGCACTTATGTGAGTGGTTAAATTATGCCTTTTTTTTAATTCGAAGCACATATATTTAGAAATGTAGACTGTGGATGGCTTGATCTGATTGGCTTTAGTGGGTGTAGGAGGATACTGCAAATGTGGTGTCAACAGTGCTCTTTGTGTCAGGAGTGACCACTCTATTGCATTCATTCTTCGGGTCACGGTTGCCTCTGATACAAGGTCCATCATTTGTTTTCCTAGCTCCTGCATTGGCGATAATTAACTCTCCGGAGTTTCAAGGGCTAAAGGGAAATGTATGTTTCTATTCTCTGGTGATGGTTAGCTCAGTAAACATGTTTTGCATTTATCCATTGATAAATTATTTCACTTGTCTGCAGATGCACAAATTATAAATTATTTGACAAATAGATAATGTTATTTCATATATTAAATTGTTGTTCGATCAGGATTTTAGAATTATATGATATTGCGATGGGAAGATTAAAATTTGAAAATTTGGGGTTAAATAATGTATTGCGATGGGAAGTAGGATTAGAGTCTGTAACTTTAGGGTTAGATAGTATCCTAACAAAGGAATGGTTAAGGATTGTAATTGCTGAAATTTAATGCTGTATATGGATGATTTATGGTGGAACTTGATGAAAAAACATGTAGAGGGTTTAATATTTCAATGTTCCAAATGCTGAGTTTGATTTGTTCTATGATAGAGATGTAGATTTTAGGTTTTGAGGTTTTTAACTTTGTGGGCAATTGAGACATGACAATTCATGTTTCTGTGTCTTAACTGTGTTGTGTAAACATAAGGTATTAACAGTCATAATGGGTCAACACGAATATGACACAATTAATTAGTTGTGTCAAGATCTTAAATACATACACATATATGTTTATTAAACATGTAACATTACATGGTCCAACACGACATGACTAACACGTTTATTAAATGGGTAGAGTTAAATTTTATACGGCACGATTCAATTTATTTACGCTATAAATACAATTAAAATTTATACGATTTATAACTTATTTGCACGATTAACACAATTGATATGATTAACTCGATTAACATTATTAAATTAAGATATATACAATTAAAATATAATTTTATTATTCAAATTTACAATAAAAAATTATAAATATCATAATATTTATCAAATATAATAATTTTTTTGAAAGGCAAATGTAATAAAATTTAACATCAATAAATTTTAGTCATCCGAAAAATATTAGTATTTATGTAGGTCAATAAATGGGTCTTAACTGTGCACTAAACATGTCTACGTGTGATACGTGACGGCAATTAAGTAAATGGGTAATAAACGGGTCATGAGTTATACAAGTACTCAATAACACAATTAATTAAATGTGTCTTAAACAAGTCTTAAACGGCTAAGCAGATTTGACATGGTTACAATAAGATTTTTTGTGTTTTAACCATGTCGACACGATGAATACACAAAACATGATTACTCTAAATCAAAGCTCACTTAAATCCTTGTCATATTGTTGTGTCATATGAAAATTGCCAAGCCCAAACTCCATAGCAAATGGGGAAAGAAGAAGAAATTGAACAATTAGAGGGAAGGATATCACTTCAGGCATTGGTGTTTTAATAACCAAAACAGCAAGTCTTATAAAATAACACATAGCTTGGAAATTTATAGAGACTATTATGATATTCTTTACTGAATAGAATTAGGATTCCAAATAGGAATTTAACAAGTAAAACACATGACAACAAGCTGCAAATTACAAATTTGTCCTGGATATGAAAACCCTTGTCAATTGCTAAAATTACTTAAAGAAGTTGTTTCATCAGTATTGCATCAACATGTAACTGGCAAATTGATGCAATTTAAGTAGTCGATCTAGTTACATTTAATTCTTTTGTTTTATCCCTGTGTAAAGGTTGAAATTGTTGCTTCTCTAGTGTCATCATTATTTTGGACAAGATGAACAATTGGTCGTCAAACTCTATGAAGAAACAAGTGATGTTGGGCAAGACTGGTACTCAATAACTTGGTGATCTAATTTTTTTGCCTCGGTTGTTATTTGTACTTATTGGAACCAAAGAATCTTTGTTTTTGAAAAGCCACAACTTTCTTCAAAGATTCATGTCCACATTAGGTCTGTTTTGAGTTGTGACTTGTTCGTATATATTCAATAAACAGGCAAGAAATTATGAGATCATTGAACTAGGTAAGAAATGGATTAGGAAGGATGACTTTAGGGATCTAAAATTTAGTTATTGTAAGTTCTTGATGAGTTTTGCAAGAAAGACGTAATGGAAGACTACAGCTTACTATTTGGAAATCTTTAGTTAGAATCTTAATCTGACTCCTGTCTTTTATCTCTTTCTTCTGTTTTTTTTTTTTTTTTGATAAGGTAGTTAGTCCAGTGGTATTTTTCCTTTCACCTTAGCTTGAATCTTGTACTATATCTGTATTTCCGTTTTTGATATTAAAAGTTCATCTTATGTGATGGCAATTTTGAGTTTACTGAACATCTGCTGTGTTGATTTTTTAACATTACATGTGGGAAATCATTTCAACTTGGCAGAACTTCAAGCATATTATGAAGGAGTTGCAGGGAGCCATTGTCATAGCTTCAGCTTTTCAAACAATACTTGGATATAGTGGACTAATGTCATTGTTTTTGAGGTATGTTTCATTACTAGTTTGATTATTCATTAGTATGTTTATTTACTGGTCTGCAAAGTCTAAAATTAACTACTAAATCAATATCATTCCTTTTACTGGTCAGACTTAGTCAATAATGGGAACATGAGTAGATTGGATAGAGTTAAGTTGCTTTAGTCGTTGTATCATGAATTATATAATTAGATAAACCTAGTTAAGAAGTCAAGCAAATCATTATTCTAACCATTAGTCTCATCTCTACATTAATGTTGCTTTGAGTTTATATAAATAGGTTTGGCATCTATTCAGTATTACAGATAACTCTTACTTGTCACCCAATTGCCCATTGTTCTGACCTGGTAGCTATGACTGACCATGGATGTGATAATATCAACTGTGAAGAAATCTTTAAAAAGAATTGTTGATGTTGAAAGTTAATTGGATGTATAATGCCTTTTCATATTGCCATTCATCCATTGAGGTTTTAAAATTTTATCGGTAGAGTAGATGCAAAGCTGATGAGTTTGATATGGTTTTGCAACATAGATGATAAATGTGTAACTGTGTGTCTGTGTCTAATGCATATATATATAT